TTCATTACAGCCGATAGCGATGGGGATGATTGGTCTTGAGGCCAAGTCTAAGTTAAATACCTATAGCTTTTAAATTTGAAAATTAAGAATAGGTCTTAGACGCACTTGCAACTCTAAAATTAAATTTAAGACAAAATCATGTTTAATTCTTAATTAAACCTGATCCTTTCTCTATCTGTCTTGAAACAATTGACAAAATGAAATTTTGACAATTGTCAGGAAACAGGATTAATTAAGCTTGTACACTCGCGCGCAAAAATAAAGGGTCACCTCGAAAACAGCAATATCTTCAAAAAATGATTAAGAAAGCTTCGAATGCTTATAAATTTAAACTAAAAGAGTCCTCTTTTGAAATTAAGGGTTATTAAGGGTTATTAAGGGTGAGGATGAAATTAAGGGTTGCATACAGTGCGCTTGTCCATGCGCACTGTATGCAACCCTTAATTGCCAAATAGTGATTTCAGATACTTTTTTAACTCAAAGAGCTAGTTAGCGTGTAGTTTCAAAATTATTTGCAGATAACTATGTAGTTGACCCTTTATTTTGCGGGTGAGTGTAGTTGATTAAAGAGTATTTCCATAGCATTACATATTAATATTATAAAACGAACTCTTCGCTGCGTCTATCTGTCTGTATGTCCGCAATGCAATCAAGGGACTTAAGGAAAAACATTTGGACAATTCAAAAGAGTTGTTCTCTACATCTAATGTGAATAAAGTAAAAAATATATTAATTTGATTTGAGTTAGCTGCTCTATAAGAAAAGACACAGCTGATGAACTAACAAGAAGGGGCTAAGCGCGTTGTGAAAGGCCGTGAGCCACTACTATCATTATACCCTTAAGCCAATTCTTACATGGATGCGCCAACGAACCATACAGAGCAACACCACCGAGGGCTGTAGAAGAAGAAGAGATTTTCACTAGTGTTAACCCTAAACTAACTCGAAAATTACTAAAATTCAAAAAATTAGACCTCCGAGTAATACTTGGCCCAAATAACAGTATTTACTAACCATACATGTTATAGATAGCTCTCTGTGCAGAGGAGGTCTGTCTGGTGGTCCTGGAATGCACAAGTGTGGCGGAAAAACAAGCTTTCATCCCTTGAGTCAATTTAATTCAACATTTATTGCAGACCATAATAAGATAATTATGCTTTATGCACATATTATATCATATTATAATAAAAATAAATTATTTTGTGTTATATCTATCCCATAATAGTTTTATCATTAAGGTATTCTTGGAGGCTATAAAAGCATTTATTCAATAACATTAACTTAATTCTCATAAAAAAAACATTGTAATTTTCTTCATTTTTTGAATTGACTAAGCTTGAATGACAACTAAATAAATTGACATTGTAATTAATATATTTAACATTTAATTGGCTTTTATTAATTGAATTGAAATTATTTAACTAACCACAAAAATTTTACGATGGGTAGGCTTAAAACCAGCTGCGCTGTGCCTATTCCTATTTCCTGTTCATATTTATTAGTTATACCTATACAATGTTATAATAAGATATGGAAATAAACCACTTGTATTATAAATGCTCGATCAACATAATTTAAGGCGAGCAGTTGGAACCATTAGCTTTTTCTCGTGTCTCGGTGTATATTTTGAAGGAACGTTTCTTCTTCTGGTAAAATAAAATTGTTTTTTTTTTCAAATTTCATTGGCAAAGAAACGATTTTATAGTTTTGAAATTAATGTTTACAACTCCCAGTTTGGTTAATATTGACAATAATATGCATAAGTTTCTTTAGTACAATAAATAAAGAGGATACATCCAAACTGTTCCCCCACAAGATGATTCGATAGGTAAACCAGGCATAATATATTATGTGATAAGGGCAGCCTTCAGGTCTGTTGTTTTTTGTCCTCTTGAAGTGCATTTGTAAAGCTAGATAATTTATTTTATATTTATTTGTTAAGGGGCCGCGGTAGCATAATTGGTCAGTACTAGTACATTCGCTCTGATAGCGAATGGTGCGGGTTCGAGTCTCGTCTGCTGCCTATTCCGCGTGGATTTTTTTCTAGTAAACTTTTCTTTAGATTTAAACATCTTGCAGTTAAATGCTTAAAAAATAAAAACATTACTAGATAATTTATTTCTAATATCTGTATCTGCGATTTCCAATTTAAGTTAGTGTATTTACTTAGACCTAGTAATTAAACACCATTAACACATTCGATATTTTTGTTTTGAAAACTATAACTGAATTTAAATGGTAATTTTTGACGCGGATGAAAGTTTATTAATATAGTTTTATCAAAGTTTATTCTTTATGTTATGCTGGATATGTATATTATGTATGGGTTATGTTTGTTTAAACAGTTAAAAGTCTGGATCATTTTAAATTTAATTTGATTTGTAAGTTGTTGCCGTTTGTTAAAGTACCGAGGTACCGAGTCCCTTGAGACTACTGTGCTTCTAGAAAGAGCTGGGCCAGCTATGCTAGCCCAATAACCCTGAACGCACAATGGACTAATCTCAGAGTCTACGTGCAGTAACGGAGGTCCACCACAAGTAACAATGTCCGCAAAGATCTCAAAAACTATTGAAGGGATGGATATTCATGAGCTTTTCACCACCACTCTTTTTATGAAAAGCTATGTGTCATAGAGAACTCAAACTAAAATTTATTTACTACATAGAACTAGGTAGTTGCTGCCCGTAACACACTAATTGAACTTCTAGACAGCATCAAAAATCTTTGAAACTTGCCCTTTGTTTCCGAAAACTTCTTCTTTAATAAACGAATTGTAGTTTGAATTACGCAATAACTTTCAAGCGATAGAAAATTTGCTAATTTCGATTTAACTTAAACTAGCTTTAACCCACAGAAAAATGACAGAGCGTCAATATCAATTTGACATTATTGTATAGGCTAAATCTGGTTTTGGTTAAATGGAGATTTAGCAATTTTGCTACAATTTCTTGACACAAAGATAAACTTTGGTGAAATATTAGGCAAATCTAAGTCTATGGACAAGACTCCAAACAATGCAACGTCAAAGTTATATCACAGGATGGCGGCAAAATCTGTCGCGTAAAATATGCTTGTTCTGTAAATAACAAGTTTGTTTCCTGGGATACGTACGTGTAGGCAAAAATATACCTATGTTTTGCAATGGTTGTAAGAAAATAAGCTTAGTTCGGAATCAAATTAGCTGATAGTATATTAAAGGGATAACAATTCCATGTTTGTAACTTTGTGCCATTTATATAGGATACATATTTTGTAAACGATATACATGGATATTTTCGTATGGGAGTGTAGTACTGTTTATAACTGTTCTTACTATTTCTAATTATATGATTTTTAAGTTTCTCAGGTAACTCAAAATTCACGGTGCGTACTCCTATTTTTTTTTTCATATTTACACAGGTTGATGAATGGTCGTACATGAATAAAAGACGTATGTAGTACCTTGGTATTTCAACAATAGACACTCTCATATTAAGAGAAAGCTTAGTCAGAATAGTACAATGGGTATTTTTCAAATTTGCGACTCTATCTGGACGTAATCTTAGATAAAAAAATGCTTTTCTTTAATCACACTAATATTATGAAGGCGAAAGTTTGTAAGTGTGTGTATGTTTGTTACTTCTTCGCGTCTAAACGGCTGGACCGATTTTAATAAAATTTGGTATGGAGTGAGCTAACACTCTGGATTAACACAAAGGCTACGTTTTACTGCGGGAAAATATCCCTAAGAAACCGCGGGTAGCACCGCGGGACACAGCTAGTAATATATAATTTTGAGCAAGAAGCGAAAACAAAAATTGGAAATTATCTTGCTATATATATATCTATATACTTACCTATATCCTACTAATATTATAAAAGCGAAAGTTTGTATGTTTGTTACTCAATTACGCAAAAACTTCCAAACGGATTGGGATTAAATTTGGTACGCATATAGTTTATGACCTGGATTGAGACAGGATACTTTTAATCCCGGAAAAATATAAGATATCTGTAGGATTTCAATTAAAAAGTTAATGAGGACGAAGTCGCAGGCGGCCTCTAGTATCCCGTAAAGAAGTGTTTTATGAAATTTATTGTGGCGCCTTAAAACAAAAAAATAATTACATATTTAAATTGCGATTTTACTATTGAATTTTCTTTCCTCTCCCGTATTTGCGTTGAAATTGAAATACGTCGAGTAGATGTGTATCGTTATCAATTAAACATCAATTAGAAACAGATACATCTAAGTGATGTGCAACTTGATAGATTTTATGAATTATTCATAGAATTAGATCCATAACAATAATTATATTCATTGGCACTGAAATGAGGGACGTCTAATCATTTTTTTTTATTATTTGTTAGATATCGTTAAGTTTATATTTAAAATATTGTAGTATTAATTATTGTATAAGAATTGATAGAACTAAGTGATCGTATTAATGCACCTATATTTAAAGATTAAAAACAGAAGTATTAAAAATATTTATAGTGTAACTTTTCTTAATTAATATTTACGACTAAGGTTAAACCGGTACATTAAACACGAATGTTTTTACAATTTCTTTTTTGAAGTTTTTGAATCTAACGTTTTAAACCTTTTTCTTTAAACTTCCTCTATAGGCATATACATTAATTTTGTATAATTTATCATACTGTACAAAGAAATACAAAAGAAGGAAAATATCGATTTCAGTCAGGAATCCTGCACTGTCAATCAATAATACTGAAAAAACAAATCATTTAATACCTACTTTAAGCTTTTAAAAATTATGATGATTATCTTGAAATAAAAAAAAACATTCTATCTCCATCAATGTCTAGGGGAGTGAAGCCGAGTGGGGTAAGTGGAGATTTTACCCGGGGGTAGCTAGAGTCACCCTGTGCTCCCGAACTTGCAGGTGAATTAAAGCTGATGAGTTCGAAGGGTGTCGGCAGAGGTGTAGCGCCGTGGGCGAGCGGGGCGGGCGGGGCGCAGATTGAGGCCACTATTTAACCGCAAGTCAGCCGCGCAACGACCTGTTGTGATCCCGTCATGGCGCGCTACGCCCGTGTCGCTACTCTGGCCGCGTGCCTCTTGTTCGCCTGCGGTGAGTCCTAACCTTTATCTTACGCCTCCAAAGGCCGTCCATCTCGCGACGTCACGAGTGACGCGATGTCACATCCATGTACATCTGTAAATAATTCAGTGATTGCGTCAACGCAGAGTGTAGCATTAAGTGAACAGTGAAGTTATCAGAAGCTCGATCGTCGCGAGATAGGCGTTCTCTGCAAACTTTACAAATGAATGCAGCCTAGCACGATCGCCTTGCATCGAATCGGACCAAAGGATATCAACACGTCGCGACTCGAACGTTTCAAGGATACTGGCGAACGACGTGTTAAATTGGCAAGTATCGAGCCTCATACTTATGTGCCGGTGCAGTGAATATTGTTTTGTTCAAGTCTTTCTCGCTTCGGTGTTTGAGTTGAGGAAACACTTCGGATTGCGAAACTATGTAATAGATATCGTAACTAGTAAGTAGATACTATGCAATGTATGACTTCGGCACATTCGTTCAAGGCACGATATTTGTAAATAAATCGTTTTTCTTACCGTAGTAGTGCTAAGTTCTTACAGGAATAACATAAGAATAACCAAAACATCACTATGAACTTCTCAGATCAACATATTAGGGCCTACCTAAACATGATTAAGTAGGTTTTTAATCAAATACTTTGTTTGGTTTGAAGAGTGTTCTTGAAGAGTCGATAAGACAAATATTTAAGTTAGCACCTGCTGCGGTTGCGCTGCACCCTGTCGGGAGAACTTTCACATTAGTGCGGTGACGGTGACGTCACATCACGCCGGCGGACGGCGCCGCGGTGCATACTCAGCCTTTATGATTCAGTCTAAAAATAACGCAACATTTTGCTAATGCTTTTAACACATGATTATTTAAATTAGATTAAAACTGTATAGATACCCGGCATATGAAATATAATTCAGTACCACGGGATTACATTTTATTAAAACATAGATTAAAGCATTCATTTGGTAAAATTATCAAACTATGAAATGAGTATTTACCGTGTAAAATGTAATCTTAACTCAAAGCCTACTTAAACGCCTTGATAAGTAAAAACTAATAATTAGTATTTTCATTCGTTAGTGAATCATTAATGATGACCTGCATACCTAATTAGTAATAATAAATAATTTGTCCGCTCCAATCTAGTTCTCTGGAACTTTATTACAAACGAGCAGTTGCACAAAATACGTTACACTGCGCAAGTTACGTGTTTGCCAAGTTCTAATCGACGTTAAGACCCAACACTCAGACCGCATTTACGCTTGTATTATAGCTGTATAATAGATTCATTGAGTCGGTATTAATTGAACAATAAGCTGATGAACATTTTTTCAAATTATTACAATTACAAGTTTTTAAGCATAAAGAACGATGTATCATAACATAATAACAAAATGTAGCATCAGTAAACAAAAATTTCAAACTCAATACACCTTTCCCTACGGTTTTAGCTTCTTATAAATGCTTACTGCCTACCTAGCTAACTTAATACCTATATTCACAAACAGAAACAACAAACGTTTAAATCTGCCGGTAGATAGAGACGCAAACACTTCGATTGTCAATAATTTACTTTGATGAAATTGTAGCAAATCTTTGTTTTAATCTTTAATTTGTATCAAAAAAGTTTCATAAACATTAATTATTTCATCAATATTTTTTTCCGAGAAGAGAGACGTTGAATATGACGAACTCTCTCTCTCTCTCTACACTTTCCAATCGTATGCCCTTGAAGTTGACAAATTGTCAGTTCAAATCTCTATTGTTTATACAGCATGAGTCAACGCGAAGATATAACCTTGTATAAAAACATAGTTCATCCATCCGTGTTTATCTTTTTTGTCAGAGACATAATCGTTACATTGGAACCGGCAAATACAAAAATGAACTTTAGCGAGATTTTTTTCCAAGTTTTTGCTGTCTTTATTCATGTCGTACTTTAACACAAAATGTAATATTTGATTTATTAATCTGTTAAAGTTTCTTAATAAAACGACCTCGAAGCACGACGGCTTTCTAGGAAATCCAGGAAATCGTTTCGGATCTTGTTTGCCGCTCATTACATTGTATTTATATTAATAATTTAACGTTATACATAAATAATTAGATATATTTTCTTGTATTACTGTAAGGGCATAAAAATACTAATTTTTATAACATGTTATAAATCAGGTCCCCTGCCGTTGCCCGTATAATCACTATGATCGTTAATAATCTTTAACGGATTTTCATCCAGTTTTCATTTCCAGTTAGATACTTTTTCACGACAAACCTTAATGTAATGTGATATCTTAATCTTAAATTTTATGATGAAAAATTATATACCTTTAAAGTTTATCATACATATTAATCTATTTGGAATTAGTTTTTTAAATACATTATGCTCGTTTGATAAATAATTATTTCAATTGCAAAACTCATTATCATTAATAAATATCAATTTTCTCATTCTTAAATGAACCTACTGAGAAAAAGTAAGGAAAATCGTTAACAAGTTACTTTAATAACGCAGAATCATTAGTTATTTTTCAGAAAACTATTTAGTAAAAAAAATAATCAACCAACCGGTTAAAAATCGTATCAAGTTTTTCACTTCTTTGCCGAATTGCGTCAACGAATTTTGTCGACTTTTACACCTTGAGTTGGAAAGTTTTCACGGTCTCTAGGTCAAATCATTAAGAAATAGGTGTGAATAGCATATTTGTAGAAAATGGAAAAGGGCACACTACATATTTAAAAAAGTCAATACTTTAAATTAAATTATGCACTTATGCAAAATAATAATTTGCATTACTGTGCACAGAAATCCATATTAAGCAAATTATATTACAATTTTGACAATTCGTAGGGTTTGTTGTGTTTACGAATTTCCTGTTATCTACGTTATATCAGCGAACTTTAGGGTAAAACTTGTCAATCAGGAAAAAGTTTATTATTGTAAGTTTTTTATAGTAGGTCGTTTCTTTGGCGTACAAAATAAGGTATATTGTAAAACATGAAATAAGTATGTGTTTTGCAAGTCTTATTATTATTTGATAATAAATAAAACATCCGATTGTGACCTTAATCCTTACACAAATGCTTACTAAAGTTGACAGGTATTTTGATGATAGATCTCTTCACATAGAAAGTAATAAACTATATCCTATTCTACCTACGTATTTTTTGCTTTATGTTGCATACGATAAATACATAATATCGTCTTAACGGGTATGCAAATATATTATAAATTCTTTTATAACGATGAACAAGCCTTTAAATATTATGAAATTGTATTTCATTGACATATATCCTGCATGATAATATAGTGCTATTAAAGAATATTTCTTGTAACCTTGACCTCGATATTTAAACAAGCTATGCAGATTCTTAAAATTTCAGCGTACCTAACGATTTGTGTATTTTTTTTGTAATGACATTTAGATGATCCTTGCTATTTATTTATGATTGCATTGTAATTTGTTTTCATAAATATTAATTCCCTGATATTTTTTTAGTTCCGAAAAAAAATTACTATGGTACAGTCATTTAAATATTTTCACAATTCTAATATTAATAAATTCATACATAATTATTTTACGTTTATTGGTTAAAAGTTCACCCTGCTATTGAGACACTTCAAGATGCTCTACTCTGAGGTGTTTTCCTGATTCTTAATTATTTTTTATAAATGTTCCTTAAAATATCAGAACTTATTCATCCGCAATACTTACTACTTTACGATATCATAAGGATACTCTGTCTTTTATCATAATTTTTAAATATAAAGAATATTGTATTGGCTAGTTACTAATATGAAACATTTTACACTAGAACAAGTTTACGCAAGAGATCGTGAACATGTTTTAATTACACAACGATTTAGCTTAATATATTGGCTTGTGAAATAGGTGTCGGTTAGTAGAACATTATAGAAAATGCAAAGGTCTCTTACTATTTTCTGACAGTAATTACGTCGTACCCTTGAAATGTTCGTACTCGTAAATAGTGGATACATAATCGTCGTAATTGAGTCAAACACGGAAGTTTTCCCGTTACCAATGGTAGCTGGTAGTCGAAGGGAGCGAGGCTAAAGAAGGAAAGTCGAGAAGTGATGTTAATATTCATGAGGTCGGCCGGTCGACGCCCGCCTGCGCCTGCGCCGTGTTCTGCATACCGCCCGCGCCGTGCCGTCGCCCGCTCGCCCATCATTCGTATTCCGGCTGCTAACAATACCAATGTGAAAAGTCACTTTCAATGTCGATAGGCGATAGGAAGGTAAACTCGTACATTCGACTCACACAAATTTTTAATAAGCTCTCACGACTAGGAGTCGTTCGTTATACGAATACAGTATAAAGTGCTAAAAAGCACATGAATTACTAAAATAATTTCAAATTACACTGCATTTCTTATTTTTTTTAAAGCTAATCACAAACATTTTAGTGTCAGGTTAAATAAAAGAGTTTCCAATTTTAATAGCATCAATAGGCACCTCTGAATGCAGCCGTTACAGTTGCTTAGGAATACAATGAGAAATACAATACAATAATAAATAACAATTTATTATTCATAATACAATAAAGTTGTTCCTTCGACAATCTTAACCTGCTCATTGTGGAATATTACATGTGTTACTACGTGAAAGCAACGTATGTAATTGTTAAGTGGTTAAAACATAATGAGTGAATGATTGACTCTCGTGTGAAAATCGTTTCGTGTAATGCACTAACACACTGTTTGCACACGCTGCTTGCAAAAAAGCGAAGACTCCGGGGTCGTAGACGTGCGAATCGAACTCATTCCCATTACTGTGTCACTGTATTGTATAATACTAACATTCGACTTAGAAGTGGTATATAAAAAAATCTTACATAATGCACTTATATCATGTTATGAAATTATTTGAGGATGTGCACCACACAAAAGATGTTATGAAATTTATTTGTCAAAAGAAAAAAGGATGTACTAGTGTGCTCCATACAAAAGACATCAACGCACGCGCACTAGATTACGATTAAAAGTATTTACTCTTAAATTTTATTATCATTTATATTTGGAGTGTATTTTATAATAGCATCTATAAAATTAATAAATCATTACACGATGTAACGAATTCTCGATGATTTTAAGAGTATGTGTGTATTAGATAAGAACTATGTATTACATTATAATATTAAGCAAATTACTTAAAGTAGGGTAAGTCTTATTTACAGTCAAGTAGTTCTCAATAATATTTATTTCAGAGGTCCGACCAGAAAGTGGATGGAACAGTGACTAGTAAGTTTCCCATTGCGACTCGGACTCGAAGAAACACCTTTTTTTTAATTTGTCAATTTAATGTAGTAATCAAGAAGTATAAGCTAGTATACCTTTTATTCATTAATTCAATTCGAATATACCTAAAGCTTACACGTCCGCTGTCGTATAGATAACTTACATTTCGATTCACAATTCATAAATATTAATAAGTTCCACTTAAGTTCAAAGGTTAATGTTACAAGAGATTAAATGTAACATAATCATTTTGGCTCACGTGGTAGATCCGGGTCAAAGAGAACTTGTTTCGTCTACAATTCCGGCCGATTAATGGTCGTCACCTGATTTTGTTAGGTATTTATCTATTTATTTGATTAAAATTGAGGAGCTCGATGGCGCGTTGGTTGGCGCTTTTGATCTGCGTTCGCGGTAGTTATGCAACTTTCGCAATGGCCAGTCATAAGATGGGTGACCGATGTTATTAACTCGAGACCGGAAAGTTCGTTAAGCGAGTATTATGACATGATTAGTATTATTAGTACATGACTTTTACTTACACATATTTTATATAATCTATTTTGTAAAATATTTTAGATGACCTTTCAATGTTCGAATGATCGCTCTTTCAATTAAGCGACTTCATATTCATCATATTAGCTATAAGCACTATGAAGAAAGCTGTTAACTTAATTCAAAGATTATAATTAATAAATGTTTACACAATCAAATGAAATACAATGAGATAGTGTAAATATGTGAGCGTGTTGTTTGCTAATCGCGCGCGGCTGATTGCCAGGTAACCCACTTTGGTTGTTTTTCTAGTTATTTTATGCGCCAAAGTTGTGGCAATCATTTACTGTGCGCTTTTGCGATAACAGTACCTACATTAGCTTTCGCCCGCGACATATCTGCCTGAATTTCAAAATTACAACTTTCAAGACAGACGAAATCGCGAAATTAATATTAATAAAAACCAATATTACGCATAATATCAGTTTTTTTGCAGATTTAAAAGTACTAAACATTCTACTATCCAACTGTCTACTCGAATAACAAACAACAAAAACAGATTCACGTAATTCCAAACTTTTACTGATGGAATATGCCCTCAGAATTTAACATTAGGAGAAACTAAATCGTAATATTGTGATGAAAATTTAAACGTGCAATATTAACATTTTAAGAATACGGGTGCTCTACCACAAGTTATTATAACAACTGTATTACAGTACATAAGAAACATTAAGCTCCTTCTGTTTCTAGAACTATGATAATACGTGGTAATCATCAATTAAAAGAAGCTTTTTTATCGTACAAAAATGTTTGTAATAATATACCAACTAGTCAATTTTTATTTGTTCATTTGCTTGTCATACGGTTTCAAGTAAGTGGATATGTTATTATAGGTGATCATATAATTAGGTAATTACATACTTTAAATAACACGCGAAGGCAATGCAAAAGGGAGACATTTGTCTTTATACTTGATCACATATGTAAATTAAATTTTTATTATTAAATTTTCAACGCAAATCAGCTTATATTTTTCTATTAGGTTTAAATAATGTCAAATTGTTAACACATAGAAAATATCTGGAACAGTATGTTTATTATTTTGTCGCTCATTTTAGAAATAGAGTAAATTCCTGCGATTAAGAATTTGTAACATACCTACTTGTTGACCCGGTGAACTACATACCACCATATTATTGTTTTTATGTAAATTTTGCGAAATTATTGTAAGACTTTTTTAATCAATTTCTGTTAATATATTTTAGATTTCGATTTATAGGCATCTCTCACAATCTTCTATCTCATTCACTCGCACACTTTTTATATTATGAGGTTAAAAAATCTGTTCGATTTCTTTTTCTTTCGTGCATACCCTGTTCTCACTATATTGAACACGATAAAAAAATTATTATATAATTTCGTGCAGTCGTTCGGATGTTATACGCGTTCGGCGATATATTTTTATTTGTAGGTATACAATAAAATAGGTACCTATCTTTAATAATCCATTCCAAAGTGATAGCTCTGCTAAATTAGTATTAGTATTTGCTTAATTATTATTCTCTATTAATTAATTAATTATTAACGCATAAATTATACAATAATATAGTTCAGATTGTTCCGCTATTAATTTTTTATCCACACTAAATTTTGACATGTTTTTTATGTAGAATTTAATATTTCACATGGTGTCTGTATTGTTTGTAGCCCTGTAGCTAGAACCATCGCGAGACAGTTAGATAATGTCGCAATATATCAATTTCCTCATATTACGTTCGCACTCCGTTCACGCTCGATATCCACAACAATTTTCAGCCAACAACAGAGTATTGATTAACTCAAGTATTTTCATCAATGAGTGCAAGCACTTCCTGGCATACTCTGATATAAAAATGTTAGATTAATGACACAAATCCGTAATAGTTTAAAAAAAATCTACGGTTTGATAATACATGGGTCAGTAAATTTTCTTCATTTATGATTCAAGGAAATCAACAATTTCATAACCTTTTGTAATTATTTTAATTTTAGCAGCCTCGTCGAAACATAAAAGCATCAAATGTCATGCATAATGTACATTTTAGTTAAGACAGAAGAACTTAGAAAGAGTCGTCCTTGCCGCTTGCTCAAGCGCTGACATTTCGACGCGAGTCAAATGTCATGTGCGCTCACTCCACCTTTGACATTTGAATACGACTGTATCAAAGAAACATTTTAGATTTATCGAAGAAAACCATGAACATCAGGAAATGATAAAATGTTCATAACACTAATAGTATTTATAATAATAACGAATTATAATAGCAGACCGATTTCCGGCTAACTTTTCCTTTCAACCAAACGATAAACATGATGACGATAAATTTTACGATATGAGAAATAACAATCAATTTCTTTATTTCCGTACAGCCGTGGAAGGGCATAGATGGAAGAGGCAAGCGGAAGAAGCGAAGAAAGACGAGAGCCTAGAACAAGAACTATGCAAGAACAAGGACGCCGGAGAGTGGTTCCGGTTGGTGGCAGGCGAGGGCGACAACTGCCGCGACGTCATCCAGTGCACAGCCTCGGTAACCACACCACATCATACCACACGCACTCTCACACGCTCGACCTTAACCACACTGTGCTTAGATTACCACTCATACTTTTACTATGATTTAACCATCAGTACCACCGTATTATTCATCGTATGAGCTCTTTGTATCAATTAAATATGTTACTCAAATAACTACCACAAAAACTTAATACAGAACACCTGAAGATTGTTTATTGAAAGGACGAGCAACGAGCCGCTGTTACGTCCTTGTCCTTGCGGTTGTTTGTCCGTTCACATCTTTTTTTAGCGCTCACGTTTCTACCCATTTTGTAGTATATGTACCCGAGTAGCTAGTACTTGTATTCGAAATATCCATCATTTAGATTGCGTGTAATGAATACTTAATGTCGCGTTATGGAAATAGACCAGGATATAGTTGTTCTTCAAATAAGCTTAGTTAACTCACAACACAAGTGACGTTTCTCGTGTATAAGTCATTACAGAAGTATTTTTGTTATGCAGGGCATTCAAGCTATCCGTTGTCCAGCCGGCTTGTATTTCGACATCGAGAAACAGACTTGCGACTGGAAAGACGCCGTCAAGAACTGTAAACTCAAGAACAAAGAACGCAAAGTGAAGCCTCTTCTATATACCGAAGAGCCTCTTTGCCAGGATGGCTTTTTGGCGTGCGGGGACTCTAATTGCATAGAGCGAGGCCTTTTCTGTAACGGAGAGAAGGACTGTGCCGATGGGTCCGATGAAAATTCTTGTGGTAAGTTGAGAAAAACAACTACTACGACTCATGAATTTCGATGACACTTTAACATAAAATGCAATACATCTATTATATACACAGCAGTTTGATGATGAGGTTTCAAGATTGTTTAGGCACATTACAGTCTTGGTTTAGTAATGTTAGGCTTATCCAAATTAGTTAAAAAAAATATTGCTATACTAATTCTAGAAGGTAAAATCTAATTGTATATCAATCATGAATCATGAAACAATGAATCAGAACCAATGTATTGATCTATGATATCAATGCAAATCGTTGATAATAGTTCAATCTAAAACAAGTGGAATAAAAAGATACATACATTAGTGCAATATTTCCTCGTAAAAAGATGATTTATATCATTAACATTACTATCCGCATTCACGCATACTGTATTAATTACAAAACATAGCAAAACATTTTTGTAATAGCTTTTAGTCTTTATTAGATAGAACGTCTTAATCGTCTTATTAAGATTGCTTATTTTGCTCTAAAATAGCAATACACACCTGAACTTGAACAGATTTCAAGAAACAGAAATGGCTCATGAGGCGTGACGAACGACCTGCCTGAAATACCAATCACTTGGCCCAAAAAAACATCTCAATGCTATTTCGAAACTCACATTATACAAACAGGCTATTTATTTTGGAATAAATTAATTCTATTGCATACTAAAAGAAATGTATTTCTAACATTAATAAACATTTTTTTTATCAATAATACATTTTAAGGATACATTTGTATAATCGTAAATAAAATATTGGTCACAGTTGGTACTCGCTTATAGGTTGGTACTTCTATTACTTGAAATTAAGTGTAATGGTTAATGTTACCTGTGGTGAATCCTAATTGGGTACACGATAAGAATACATAATATCTATTTACTAACAATAAAAACCTTTGTGACGATTGGAACGGCATCACGATATATTATAACAGTAAAAAAGAACGTAATGCCATTAAAATAATTTTATTATTAAGTTTCTTCATTGGAAAAAAATATGTACAACAATCTTCCCGATTCGTTATAACTACCTTGTATTTCAGTTACGCAATGCTTTAAAGCTTTTATATCTCAACGAACGTTATGTGCATGCATACTCGTTGCAAATATATCAAGTTTTACAGCACTGCCGAATCAAAAGTGAAATCCAGCGAGTAGGTATCAGTTATACCAAACGATCGAGCGAAAGTACCCATACTGGTTCCGAGACTTGCCAAGCCCGATTATAGCACGCCTACGCTTCGTCTCTTAGTAAAATAATATTCTAAACATATTAGTTTGTAATTGATTTATTTACAATAACTTCTTGTTACATAAAAATCGTAAATTTTGGTAGTATCTATCGTTTTACCTATATATGATATTGTGATATAATGATTCCTAATGACAAATCTTTTTCTGAATAAAAATGTTTTAATGCTCAATAATCACACTTTGTTTTAGATATCGACAACGACCCAAACAGAGCCCCACCCTGTGACCCGAGTCAGTGCGTGCTGCCTGACTGTTTCTGCTCAGAGGACGGCACAGTGATACCTGGAGATTTGCCCGCCAGAGATGTACCTCAGATGATCACAATCACATTCGATGACGCCATCAATAACAATAACATCGAATTATACAAAGAAATCTTCAATGGAAAGCGTAAAAATCCCAATGGCTGTGACATCAAGGCGACGTTCTTCATTTCGCACAAATACACCAACTACTCCGCCGTGCATGAGACACACCGCAAAGGTCACGAGATTGCAGTTCATTCTATTACGTAAGATATTTTATTTTTTATACTTTTATTATCGCTACCAATACTTATATAAAATTTATGAGTAATATTAATAATCTCATTAACAGGCACAACGACGATGAACGCTTCTGGAGCAATGCTACTGTTGATGATTGGGGCAAGGAAATGGCAGGCATGAGGGTTATAATTGAGAAGTTCGCAAACATTACTGACAACAGTGTAGTTGGAGTACGCGCACCCTACCTCCGAGTCGGTGGCAACAACCAATTCACCATGATGGAAGAACAAGCTTTCTTATACGACAGCACCATCACCGCTCCTCTGTCCAACCCCCCACTCTGGCCATACACTATGTACTTCAGGATGCCCCACCGCTGCCACGGTAATCTGCAGAGCTGTCCGACGAGAAGCCACGCTGTCTGGGAAATGGTAATGAACGAACTTGACCGTCGCGAGGATCCCACCAACGATGAGTACCTTCCCGGATGCGCTATGGTTGATTCTTGTTCGAACATCTTAACAGGAGACCAATTCTACAACTTCTTAAATCACAATTTCGATCGTCATTACGAACAAAACCGTGCTCCCCTCGGTTTGTACTTCCACGCCGCTTGGTTAAGAAACAATCCTGAATTTTTAGAGGCCTTCTTATACTGGATAGACGAAATTCTCTCGAGCCACAATGACGTGTACTTTGTAACTATGACCCAAGTGATTCAATGGGTTCAAAACCCACGCACGGTATCCGAAGCCAAAAACTTCGAGCCCTGGAGGGAAAAGTGCGCTGTTGAAGGAAATCCCGCTTGTTGGGTACCCCATTCGTGCAAGCTGACGTCTAAGGAGGTGCCCGGTGAAACCATCAACCTGCAGACGTGCGTGAGGTGCCCCGTCAACTACCCCTGGTTGAATGACCCCACAGGTGACGGACACTATTGAAAGCGCCTCGATCTCGCGCTCCCAGCGCTTTTAATTAGTTAATAGATTGCGGTTGAGAGGTTGCATGGGCAACATATTCGGAGTTTCTTCCGTCAACATAATACATTACGTATAAAATAGGTAAATTAAATCGAAGTGAAGTCTGAATATGTTTTCCTGAACTTTCTAAATGTACCGGGTCATAATCCCGCCCGTAGTATAAGTACCTACAGTATGTAATATAGACTCACATGAATATTTAATAAGTCTGTTCAATACTTTATGTGATTTTCTAATGTAAGTCTGTTTGAAAAGTTTAAAAATACAAAATATGAAAATTAATGATGTGTTGTTAATATTGACCTAAGCGGAATCCGTTTCATTATGCCTATCTTAGAGCAAATAAAAGAGCAGTTTTCTTCTTGTCGAAGCCAATTACAATCACAGTAGAAATTAAATCATTTCAGCAATGTACAAAGTCAACTTAAAATTTCGAATTCACTGTGTTATCGCTTATTTTCAACCATTTCAATTCAGTATACTAAATCTACCTGGAGGGTACTACAGTACCCTCCAGTAGCTTCTATTAAAAATAGTGACCATTTGGACACGACCAAAATCATGACCGTATGTTGAATTTTTCTGCCCGAGACGTTCGGCCCTACATATAAGGTGTGGGTTAGGTATGATGGGAGTACTTCACAAGGTGCAAGTTTGCCCCCATATGTTATTCTGCCACGTCCGAGTAAATCCCAAAATCCCCGCTTGGGCTATAAAAATGTCCTTAACGGGGTGTTAGAGGAAGAATGTGGACGATTTAGTGTATTTTATATTTCCGATTTGAATGAAGACAATATGACTATGACTTTGAAACAGAGTTCATATGCGACCGGTTCCCTTAAAGTCAGATGTACTATATAGGACCATGTACTATAGAGGAAATTCTGCAAAATCGTGTGTTGCGCAGTGCCACGGGTTGCCCGTGGTACGTGCTCAACATCGATTTGCATCACAAGTTAGACTTCACCACGAAGTATATGAAGGACGCTTCGAGACATTACTTCGATAAAGCCGCGCATCATCCGAACCCCTTAGTAGTTAAAGCCTCTTGTTATCACACGTCCACCCTCCCATCCTCCAATCGTAGGTCCCTCCAATTCCGTCGGCCTAGGCACGACTTAGAGTAGGTACCCCGACGATGAAATCACCCGCGCCAACGCGCCTCCGACTCCTCCCACACAGGCCACAAACACCAACACTACACAGCTAGCAAACTTGCACACTAGCTTAGCATTAGGCAGACACCGCATCCGTAGGATAAGAGTACGAAGAGTCGGTCTACACACGACACGCTATACCAGGTACAGATACGTACCTCGGCGTTTTTCCCCGTCCCCCCCGATAACGGCTCACTTGAGCCGAGGTCCGAGTCTCAGAGACGCCCTCTAGATGAGCCGACTCTTAGGTTCGAGTGGTCTAGAGGCTCCAGACGGCGAGGAGACTTCCCCCGTGGGCCTTCCGCCTGGAACACCTCTAGAGGCACTCGCCAATTCTCGGCTTGAGGTCCCTATAGGATATCCCCGTCCCCAAGCCCTATAAAAGTTCAACCAACAGCATACACACTCAAAAGAAAAATTGCTATTCAGCGTTCTCGAACTCGAGAAAACTAGAGAAGTCTATCTCGGTTTGCGACGAGAAAACCATCCCATGCCTCTTCATGAGTTCTCGAGGCATTAATTCAAAGTATTCGAGGTAGGTTTTTAAAATTGGCCCGCGCTCACTGCCAGCAAGTTGTTTCACTCACAAATTTTAAAATAAATACCAATATTACTTATATTATTATAAGAGCAATAGCTTAATACTAAAGTTGTTTTGTTTCTAGAGATTTTTAGCGTTCCCAATTCTTGTGAGTATTAATATTTTATTATTGAGTATTAGATGATTTTATGTTTAATTTTTTTTAAGTAGGTGCAGGTGAAGGCAGTAGAAATACGTTTCTATCGAGATTATTTAAAGTGGTTTCTTTTAATTTTATTACTTATTATATGCAAATTATGTCTTCTTTGAAAGCCTGAAGACTCAAGAAGACTAGGGAATTCCCGTGCCTCGAGAACGAAAATATTTGTGAAATCTGAAACCTACCATTGTAAATTGTATTTTTTAATGGTACAAGATGCTTAAAAGTGATTAAGTAGTAGTATCAATGGAACTGAAGCCCAAGCACTAGTAAGCTCCGTAAAGTATTTATGATACTTTATATACTTCGTCAATTTTTTTATGGAAAAAGGTAGTTTGTTCTTTCATCCGACAGGGGCGCTGCTTAGTTTTCATAGAAACTGCGATACGTTACGAGCTTGTTAAAACTCGTGTTTCGGTCTCAGGTCAATGAGGCCCAAGGTACAACGTATAGACGACCAGTTGCTTCGCTCAACTCTACTGATAAAAAAACATTATAAGAGTAGAATTAAACAAACTTTGTTTCTATCCCAGTGTGGTTCAAGTTTTATTATTTAAGTGAAAAGTTCGGAAAAAAAGTAACTACACCTAATACTTAAATATTATTAGAGAATGAATGTCACGCAATTCGAATTATACCTTATTCATTTTAAGGCATAATTTTATGTTCCCAACCAAAAAAGGTAACCTGACCAGTTTGTCCCTTTGTCTCAGGTTTGTGCGAAGGTCGTAATAAAACGTTCAAGGCCGAAATTAATTATGTCATTAAATCGTTAATTTTACGATATACTATGAATATGTAAACATAATCATGATGCATTACAAACGATTTTGAAATCGACGATCGAAGAAAGCGTCTGTAACTGCACGGCTCAGACCCTTGGTCTGAGCTGCACGTAGACTATTTTCTATTTGAAGAAAATTAGGGCCGCGGTAGCATAATGGTCAGTTCACCAGCCCGGATAGCGGAGGGTGCTGGTTCGACTCACGTCTGCTGCCTGGTCTATTTTTTTTTAATAAAATTGACTTTACATTTAAATATCTAGCAGTTAAATGATTAAAAAATAAAAATATAACTGTAATTGCTATTTCTTCTTACAAATTCATTTCATACTTGTAAAGGCATTCATTTAACATTGTGGGTTATTTGTGGCCTTGCAGCCTAAGAAATGCTAAAGAAAATTTGACACGGACAATTAGGGCCGCGTTAGCATAATGGCCAGTGCATCCGCCCAGATAGCGAAGGGGGCCGGTTCGAGTCCAGTCTGCTGCCTGGTCCGCGTGGAATTATTTCTAGAAAAAAATCTTTAGATTTAAAAATCTAGCAGTTAAATGCTAAAAAATTTTTTTTACTGTAAATTAAATAATGTATTATCAATACAATATCATGTCAAATGGACATAGATACTTAATACCAATAATTGAAACCCCGAATCACTATATCTCTAAAGAACATTATTCCTAATATTGATAGCCGGAATGCACGCTATCCCTAATAACTTTAGACCTATAACACTGTACACCTAATATTTCGATCCCGAATGCACAGTATCCCTAATAACTTTAGAATTGGTATTATTTTGGGTTTCGCGGACCGCTGCCGCGGCACGCTCGCTTCGCTCGCTTGGCTCGCGCGTTATGGTCACAACACTAACCTAACCTAGTGTGAAGTATCATCACTTGGGTCCTGGAAGTACAGTTTAGCTCGTCTCAAAATTATTAGGGATAGCGTGCATTCGGGATCGAAATATTAGGTATGCAGATGTTCTAAAGTTATTAGGGATAGCGTGCATTCGGGCTAGCAATAATGGGAATGATGTTCATTAGAGACATAGTGATTCGGTGTTTCAATTATTGGTATTAAGCATAACAGTGTGTCAAAAGTCAAATTTTAATGTCAAACTATTAGCAGAGTTCTCATAACATATCTGATAAACTATCTATTTACGAGTACATTACAATGTACACATAAAAATCGCAAGCAGAATAAAATTTATATAATGTTTCGGTATAATAATGAACGGCACTTTGGAGTTCCTTGTTTTGTATTTTTTGACATTCGAAAGTTAATCAACACCTTGGTGACATCAAAGCAATCAACGCGCAAACCTGCGTATTTCCCGTTTACCTAGGAATGCTACAAATAAGCAAGAAGCAAGGTTTACAACAAAAGTAAAGGGTCTGTATCTGTAAATACTTTGAATTTCAATAAATAATTATGATTATTTTTACCTAAATTTGGTACATTTTTTGTTTTTATATATGAAAGAATTTTATACGTTATGAAATACAAGAATTTAATATCACAATATATATTACATTTTATTTTTATTCAATTTTTTTTTTCAACAGCAAGATTGCAGTTTTTGTCCAGTTAGTTAAAACAGCTTTATGTAGGTACTTTCGATTTTGGAGGGAAAGACGCAACAATGTCTTACACAAATGTTACCACCACGCGTGGCTGCTCGACAATTTAGTGAAGCACTTACGCGTAGTGGTAACATCTATACATTTTTCGATGGTAACTAATGTTCTTTTTATTGGATCCAGATCGAACAACTGATGTTTTTGCTATGCACACCAATATTTTAATATTCGCGCTGACTAACTTGTTTCATATTTTCTATGATAGATTAAAGCAACTTATAAAATATTGGAAAGGATAAAAAAATAACACTGGATTTTAAGATATTTGTATTACTAGTAAAATAATGTATTTTCGAGTAAACTATGATAATTCTCGGCAAAACAGATGGTGGACAAACCACCAAAAGTACAATAGGCTAGTTGACTCATGTCAATTTGCACTATACAAATGTTTATTTCTTATAATTTTTGGTATGAGGAACCTAAATACATCAATTTCACTTCATAAAATTAGAAGATGGCTGTAGTAATTTAATTTGAAAAATAGTTCTTAGTCTATGCTTTTTAAACACTAAAAACGGTGTCCACCATCATTGTGACGTCAAAATAGCAAACAACTCGTCATTGTCGTGTTACTGTGTTTTCTTTCGTCCGACTAAAATATATCTAAAAACTCTTATATCTTTTTAAATGTAATGAATCATTTGAGTAAACTAATCTCTGAACTTGAAGATTATACTAGCAAACATTTCTGTAAAAAAAATATCATATTTGATCCGCAAGATAAGGACTTAAATTTTTTTCGTGTATAAATCTTT